TCAACGGTGTCTTGGTGAACGGGTGCATTGATGTTCACTAGTTTGTCGTATTAGAAACTTTTTGGGCGAGAGAAGGTTCTCCAGCCTGTAACTGCGTCTTCGAGGACGTTTGAGATATCTCGCATGAGTCTATACTTCATTGGGTCTCCTAATACAAATGTCGAGCTCTTTCTGAATTATCTTTGTCCAGCTGATGAGTGCTTGAAGATGTAAACCGTTACGGTGTGACGCAATTTTCTAATTCCGAAGAACGGCAAATTGTCTTTTATCCCTAATTTTCTAGAATAAAATACAATTTCTCCATGGACCATGTATGCATTAAAATATCGGGAACATAATTTTTTCTAGGATAAGTCTAATCGTTTGAACTATTTGTTATTACAATGTTAACTTTTTATTTACTTCATTCTACAATTTTTCATGGCAGGATATTTCGCCAAATGCAAGCACAATGGTGTTGCGACACTTGCAAAACCCAGTCCGCAGGTGTCTGCGGTGGGGAACGAACGCGCTATTACCCTTTCAGGGGCTAACGTGCTCACCACCACACCATGTGGTTGCTACGTTTCGCCTGTGTTTTCTATCTACCACTGCCAACAGCAATCGTCCGTTACGGGATTGATCTGGGCAGCCCAAATCGGCATTGAAGCCTCTAGGATAAGTCCAATCGTTCCAGCTATTTGCTATTACAATGTTAACTTTTTCTTTGCTTCAGTTAAGCTGAGGCTGTTGTTGAAATCACAATGTTAAGTTTTTATTACAATATTTGTTATTGCTTGTTATGCACTAAAAACCACTTTAAAAACAGCTTTGTATACATCAAGGTTTCTTGAAAAAGTTGCAACATTAGCACCATGACAAAGGAGAAATGAGTTTATATCTACATTTTTTTGGAAAATTTCTGAATAACGTTGTTAATGAAATTCACCGATTGATCAAAGAATTTCCTGGGTTCTCTAGATAGCGTGTCGTTAAACCAATGCGAGAGCCAGCAAGACCAGCTGATCGGTCAGCTGTTTCGTAGAATATCGAGTTTGTTCGAAATACTTAGTTTGATGCGTGATGGTGTCTATTGTGTGAGTAAACATGCTTAATTGGTGTTGTTTCATATGAGCTCTGCAAACAGAAACCGCAGAACTGTTCGAGTGAGGCGTCACGTTTCGACAAATCAGCAACGATGGTGTTCCATGAGCGACGACGACTGCTACCTTCAGCAACCACCTATGAACTGTAGAGAGAACTACATGGACGTCCCGAGTGGGAACAACCAAATCATCCCGATTCTACAGGCGAAACGTCGCCAGGAGCACATGCAGAGAATGTCATTAATGAAAGATGCTTGATGAACACTAGTTCATCGTATCTTGGATTCTATTTGAATCAATGATGAAGAGTTTATGGAAAATGACGTGATGCTGGTTTTCGACTAGAAATACAACACTGATTTGCAGCGTCGCCAAAATGGCTAGCGTTTGAAAAGAATATAGACGTTATATGTTGTGCTCCTTGATACTTGGCCCTTGATATTTGAATGGCACGTCCTCGCTGGTTGTGTGGGCCCCAGCATAATCTCCATTTGTCGGAGATTTGCTGGCTAAGCCATTGTGGTTTTCTGGAGTTCCGAGGTCATCCTGGCCAAAGTCTGCCCCAGATCTTCACACCACAGGCAGTCGCAGTCCTTTTGGATCAGAGGGGGATTTGCCAACATACGACCTTGATACCAAGACGGTGGTGAATCCTGGTAGTGGTTTACTCTTAGCTAGACATTCTGATGGAAGCACTGGACTGATTCTTAGCTTGGGAGACCTTGCCAGAGAAACGAATTTTTTTGTTGTATATCGCAGCCCCACACCCAAGAACACCTCCTATCCACGATGAGGCGGTAAGTAGTTGGAAGGTTGTATTCACTGTACGAAGCTGGTATCCACTTAGATCGGATCAGTTAAACAGATGTGCTAATGTATTAAGTTGGGTTGGATGTTAACTTATTACTAAGGAATTTAATACCTGCTATAAACTCTTGATTAAAATAGATTTCATGTACTACTTTTAAAGTTTTAAAGACCGCGCTCGCTCCGATTTGTGTAAAAAAACGTTGTACTCAACTTTTTCCACAATTTTAGACGTGCTAGAACGGTAGATAGAGAGCAAATTTTTGCTTAAGTGGGGTTCTTGTTTGTCTGATGTAGAGTTCTAATATTGAAGGATAAAATCCTCTAATTAACTAGCTGCGTAAATGGTACTTGGAACTAGTAAGGTTCTCAGTTGACAAAGCAATCGCGCTAAAAGAGCAGATCATACTGGATTACAACCGACTAACATCCGTTTCCTTTAAAAGGTCACGAATGTGGAAGAAATTTCGTTCAAGTTCCCTCCAGTGGATTCGACTCGATGCCAGAACGAACATGCACATCGCGACAACGACCATCTGCAGACCATCGACTCCGATCAATCCAACTCTGAAGCATATGAAACCTTCGGAATGTTGACTGAATAAAAGTTCATCAAACGAATCTCCTATCAGCTCAATCATATAGAAAAGTGTGAGTTCAATTTAAAGCTGAAAAAAAGTGAGTGAGACAACGCTTCCTGCGTGAGATTAAGTTGAGACGGTATCCAGCTGAAAATGTTGCCTGGCTTGTGACCAGAAGAACAGGTAGTACTTGCTCTGAGAATTCCGTAACAGAGAGTTGAAGGTGGAGGTAATCGTTGACGTCTTTGCGATAAACACCAAGCAGTGGACAGGAATTGCGGAAACTATGCAAAATTTCTCAAGACATATTTTTCATTCTCGAGCTACCAGATTCAGAACTCAACTCGATGCCATTTCTAGCTTGCGCTCTTTCACTTTTCTTTCTGAGTGTTCCTCAAAAGAGATTTCTACAGTCCTCAGGAAACCAGTTTATAGGCAATTCAGCAAATTATACTCGCTTATTTGAATACTTGGGCTGCCCATCCTCACTTGTTGTGCGGGTCTCAACAAATTCTCCATTTTTCGGAGTTTTACTGGCTTAGCCATTACGTTTCCCCGGAGTCCCGATGTCGGCCTGGGCAAAGTCTGCCGCAGGCCGTTACCACCACAGGCAGTCGCTTCCCTGGTGGATCAGAGCGAGATTTTCCACCATACAACTAGACTAGAGGTGAATTCCTCTAGAAAATAAGATTTTCTTTTGGTGAATAAGGAGTAAAATAACAGCCTCTTGTTGGCTCATAAAGAAAACAGGAGACTCATTAAGTTTAAAAGTGTAGAAATTAGCAGTCTATTGCAGTTTGATTTGCTTAATAGATATCGTGCAGAAAAATGACAGACTAGAAAAGCTGGATGTACCATACGTTTTTCTTAAACACATTGTTCAAATGTGTTTATCAAATAAGAACAACTGCAAATATAAAAATGTGCAAGTGTAAATATTCATTAACACAATTTTATATCTCAGCGTTCTCTTTCTCACCCAGTAAGAAATGAACAGCAACTGATACCGTTGTTTCCATTCAGCTCAGCGACGACGATGTTAGTGGAGATGTTAAGCGTTTCAGTCGAAAAATCTGCATGTCAAAAATATCCCACACTATCACTACCATTTTTCGCGCCATCGGCAGGTCAGGAGTCGATTAATAGGAGAACAGTAGCAACATCATAGCCTGAAAACTAGCACATTATATTCGCTGTAAATCAAGGAACTGAAACTCAGTTCACCATGTCTACATCAATCTCATTCTTTACTGACCTTACAGTTTCTTTGACCAACTCTGAAAACCACCAAAATCACGCCCTTTTTAGACTAAGCGTTTTCGCCTGGTACTGAGAGCTGTTAGGATTCCTGATTGCTTGCGTAGATACTTAGATGAAAGGGTTCAGGTAGCTGTAGCTCAAAAATGTTATCTGTTGTTCTCATTCGCATTTTGAATAATCCTTGAAAGCGACTTAATCCGGAGTACTAAAATACCTGTGCTACGGTACGCAATTTTCACCACAATCGTTTGCTCTCATCTCATCGGAAAAGTGTTTGGTCGGTTGCAGCTCGGGTACTTCAAGGATAACAATGAAGGCTGGGAATTGCTGTTACGGCCACGAATTAAGAGATAGTCGAAAGATCGAAAACCCTTTGAAGGCTGATTGGTCAGTGGGATTCATAGGATCTAGATGCAGATATTTAAGAATGATCGCTTGCTGAAAGGAGAAAACAATCGTCATTTGCGACGACAAAACAACAAATCACCGCCTAATTTTCCAAGAAAACTCGTCATTGGTTGAATGTGCTATTTACAAAAGTCATCTATAGTTTTTAGAAAGTTGAGGCAGACTTGCCCTCTAGGTCTAGGCAAAAATTTAACGAACAACGTTTTTACAAGACGGCGAAAGCAAGTGAAATGCCATTCACGACACCTGTAGTAGCCAAAGCTCTTTTCGACACATTTCAACAGCACGCCACCATTTGGCCTTTTCGCCACCAAAAAAAGAAGAAGAAAAGTATATACTCTTGTGAGATTCTTTGTCGCCTATTGCATTGCACATCTTAGAGTGATCATAAAAAGAGTATTTAAGCTATTCCCATGACCGACTTTCTTTTAACCTCGGCATTGATTGATAATTCGATGTCTTTCTTTAATAAGCAGACACGAGGTTGGTACTATAGAATTTATTAGGATACAACAGCTGACGTTTCGACGGTTTTCCCCTCTTCAGAGCCTGGAAAGGTCAAATTGAAATCTCATAAGAAGCAGCTTCATTTAAACACCTACCGTTTATTTGTTGTAAGCATGTAAGTTAGTTGATGGATAGCAGCCGCACAGAGTAATACATGGGCGATAACTGGAAAGTATTTAAGCTCTTTCCACTGTTTCTTAGAGAACGTAATGTTAGAAGATTCACAAACGAAACAGCTCTGCAAGCGCCCCAAAGTTGCAAAAGACACTTCAATAGTTTTCGGTTTCAACTGCATTTAGATTCCCGGCAAGCGCAAGTGAATCGGGCCATTGAACTAACTAAATCAAGGCAAATGAACACGGCTACTGGAAAGACGTCTGTCAGAACAACTCAAAATGTAAATCATTTTTTAAAATTACTTATTCGTTATTGTTATTCAGCCAAATTAGACGATTTCGAATCGAAATAGAGAGAATAATAAGCTGGAACAACTTGAACGGCACTGTTTTGAGGAAAGGAAGGTTACAATTAGATCAAGAACGAAACCTTAGATGCACTAATTGAACATCGATCATTTTTTGGAGATCTTCTCAGTGTAGCAATTTCCAGACATCCGGGCGTAATGAAGCCATAGACGTCAACAAACTAAATTTGCTGATTCGTGCTCTCGACAAGACGTGGGTTCTTCCACGACTCGACTCGAAAGACCCCGTTGGAAGCAATTTCCAGGTCGGCTCAGTACTTTCTTGTTGTTTCATGATAGAATAAAACAACAGTTGTAGTTAGAACATCAGTGCACACTACCTGTTACCCTTTCACCAACGAAGCTGCTGCTTAGTTTGGCTTTTTCTTGCAGTAATGCGCAGATGTTAAGTAACAGCAAAATGACTTTGAACTCTGTAATGTAACCGTTAAACAGCTGTGTTTGTAGACATAATAAGAAAATGCATTTTTTTAGACATCGGTATTTTCGGCTAAAAGTCGAAAAGTCTGAAAAGTCGAGAGTGAACTTTAACAAAGCCGCTTTCAGTACAAGAAAACATGCGCTTCGATATTCAAAGCTCGTCATGGTGCCTGTCAGCAACTGAGCTTTGGTGTGATGTGCTTCAACTACTGCCATGAACGAGGTATGTGTTGCTCCTGTCAATTTTCCAAGCTCTTTTTCAACAACAACGCGTTCGAAAATTGGAAGGCGAACAAATTAATGTAGTTTCTGTTTTGCACGAGATTTCAGCACCATGAAGAGCAAATTTAACAATCCTTTGACCATCAAAAAGCATGCTACGGCTTTATCGGGTAAAATTACAGCGTTTGAAGGAACGGCGAACCTCATAAAAACTATTGCCCTCGATTACCATTTCGTTGAGGCAAACGGAAACTACGATTATGAATCCTCCTTGTGTCATAGTCTACAAAAATGACCAAGTAGTGCAAAATGTTTTATACTTGGGAACCCGATGTGCCATGAATTCAGCGACTCCAAAGGAATTGATGGCCTTAAAATGTCAGTGCTCAGCATAGAACCAGTCTCTGTATGTTTGAGAGTAGCGCTTTATCGCATTATGCTACGTGGAACTAACTCTATTCCTGGCCCTTACAATTATACATAGATTAAAAAAACGAAGAGGCGCCAATTATGAACAAAAAAAAACTGAAGAAAAAAGTGGGCTCTAGTTTATAATTGTATTAGTACGTTTTCCACATACAATTTCAATTCCCGATACGTGATAACTTTGCATTTCTTCAGAACTGGCACACTTTTCGTTAATCCAACTTCAGATTACTTCAAAGTGCTGCAGTTGTTCTCACCGAAAAATCGGTACAAAAAGTAGGAAACGTGCACCTTCGTCTTCGGTTACTAAAGACCTCCAACGAAGCTGTAACGTTGTGAAAAAGTATCAAAGCCGTTCATTACAAGATAAGATAATCGAGCAAAAAATTTTCCCATCAAAACCCTTTCGTCACTAAATTGGGGGTTTTTTTCAATTCCGTTTCTCCTTTTGTAACAAATTGGAAACGATTTCTATTTTTTAAATTGACAGAATACAAGGTAAAAACAGGGACGATAAGTCTCGATCACACCACTGATTCGTTACGGTTCGACTCTTCGTAATTCTCTGCTAGCTAGCCTTCATTCGAACTGTTTTCTATTTGGGGTGCATTCGTTTAGCTCACGAACTGCGGCGGTAACGAAAAACACCTCGACGCGGATTTTAAATGCCTCAAAAACAGTTTAGCGAGTGGCTTAGCGTAATCAGCCCAACGATCGCCCGTGCACCTCTTCCATGTCATATGGGGACCAAGATTTTTCCATTCTCATCAACGTTTTTCATTTGACAGGACATGTCGATCTTCATAATTGGAAAAAGGCTGAAGACGATGTTGGAAAGAAATCTTGTGGGCTTTCGAATGCATGTATAATAGCTTTACAATCCTGAAAAAAAGCGATAACCAATGGTGGTTTACTAATGAGCCAGAAATATCACTTGGATTTGTAACTTTGGCGTATGCCTTTTCTAATGTTGAGACATCACTGGTCAATAAACAATATAGGCTACAGGTAAGCATTGTAATCGTTTGTTTCTAAACATTGACTAGTTCTTACATTAAACCGTAAAGACCAGCTATCGTATTTGGTGGGTGGCTCAATCGAATGCGAGCATTTTTCCTCGCTTGAAGACTTTCTGGTTTCCTGATAATAAAAAATAAATTTTTGAAAGCCGTAGTGCTTTGGAGTTAGTAAAAGTGGCAAACTTGCAAAAGACACTTGGTCTATGGTGCAAGAAGTATGAATGATATATATGTATATTTTTTTACAATGGTGCTGGGCGTGTGTGGCGAAGTGGGCGGAGACTCGCTGAAACACACAAGCGGAATCGATCCCCGCGCCCATGGCCCACCAAGCCCTCCATCCCTCCGAGGCCGGCGAATTGATACCAGACTTGTATGGGAGGATAGCAGCACTGGCTCGATACATCGGTAGGCTACCGCGAGTCATTGTGAAGCCGAGATATGCATTCGGTCTCCAAACGATGCTTAATGAAGTCGAATGTTTGGTGCATCACTCATGGACTGATTAACTCCGATACATTTATCCTTCGTCCTTTTAACAAAGGTGCTAAGATATTTACAAAACTCTGAACCGAAGGTGTCTTCGGTTGGGAGCGAACCCGCTGCTATTCTTTACGGGCGGTAACGCGCCCACCACCTCACCATGCGTGTCTTTCGTTTCGCCTTTCATTCGGCTATTTTTCTATCCACTACTGCTATCAGCAATCATCCGTCAACGAAATTGATTTAAGAAGCACAAATCGGCACTTTACCCAGTTAAACTGAGGCTGTAGTAGAAACCACATCGTTAGCTTTTTAATTACTGCCTATTACAATTTTTCACGGCAAAGTGTTATGTGTTATACAAGAGCAATGGGTGCTGAGATATTTGCAGATAAGACAGTTATAGATTTCTAGATAGTGGGTACGCATGGCATCACCTGCATCACCTGTCGTCCCGTTGATCGTCGAGTGACTCGAGTGGGCGCCAGTAAATCTTCCATTTTTCTGTGTCGCGTGCAAAAGTAGCCCACTGGGTTCTGTTCGCAGTAGGGACTAGTCGAGTATCATATCTTTCTTTCAGGCTCTCCGTGAAGAACCCTGACAATCGGGTCGGTAGTCATCCTCCAGTACGTTTGACATCCCGCGGAATTCAGTCACTAACGGATTTTGTCCATCGCTTGTCATTCATACGCATTACGTGTCCGGCCCACCTTATCTTTGTCCGTTTGCCGTACAAAACGGCATCTTTGATTTTTGATCGTCGACGCAGATCGGAGCCTCGGATCCTATCCCTTACTTGTGTGGAACGGGATACTCCTAGCATCGTCCTTTCGACTGCGCGTTCGATATCGCTGAGTGATCTTTCACCCTACTTACACAGCGACCAGGTTTTTGAAGCCCACATTAGGGCAGGAAGTACCGTTGAGCCGAAAAGCTGGACACGGAGTCGGGTGTTCTTTGTTCTCTCCACTATATCCTTGATGCTCTTGAAAGCTCCCCACGCCGCTCGTTTCCTTTTGCTCAACTCTGGAACTAAGTCGTTGATCACATTGATTTCCCGACCTAGATAGACATAACTGGAGAATTCGGAGATATTCGTTCCGTTGAGCGTGAATGGGTCATGTGAAACCAATCCGCCCTTCACAAACATCGTTTTTGTAAGATTTAGTCGAAGACCAATCTTTCCACAGCCTTTATCAAAGTCGTCAAGCATACGTTCCGCTTGGCTAATGTTGGGTGTTATATGAACGGTGTTGTCAGCAAAGCGAAGATGGTGTAACTGCCGACCATCGATTTTCACTGCCATATTATTCCATTCCAATGTTCGTATGACGTTTTGAAGGGTGGCGGTAAATAATTTTGGCGAGATGGTATCGCCTTGCTTAACTCCTCTTTTGACGTCAATGTTGATATCGTTGTAGAATGGTGACATCTTGGTTGTGAATTTTTTGTACAGCTCACAAAGAATCTTTATGTACTGAGTAGGGACTCCTTGATTATCAAGGGCTTTTAAGATTGCTTTTATCTCAACTGAATCAAAACCCTTCTGTAAATCGATGAAAGTGAGACAGAGCGGTCTTTTGTACTCTCGCGATACTTCAATGAGCCGTGTTACCGTGTGGATGTGATCCATCGTACTAAATTCTTTTCGAAACCCTGCTTGCTCACATGGCTGTCTTTCGTCTAGTGTTTTGCCAATCCTGTTTAGGATAACTCGAATGACAAGTTTGTAGACGACAGACAGTAAGCAGATTGCGCGATAGTTGCCGATATCGTGCAAGCCACTCTTCTTTAACAATAACACGGTCTCGCTGGTCTTCCACTAAGTGGGGGCCTTGCATTCAGATAGAAAACGTGTGAAGAGCCGAACCAGTGTGTTTACGAGGACTGGAGGAAAGTTCTTCAAGTACTCTGGTCTTATCTTGTCCGGACCTGTTGCTGTTTCATTTTTCGCCGACGAAATGGCATGTCGGATTTCGGAAGGAGGAACCGGTGGTGCAATACATCCATTCTCCTTTATTTTATACGACGGAAGGTGGACGTGACTATCAAAGAGATAAGGGTAGTATTCGTGAGTGATTTTCTCCACTGCTTTTCTGAACGCTGTAACTGTTCCGTCTGGGCGCCGGAATGCGATCATTTTGGTTTTGTAATTGGCGAAGCTTCGGTGGGCTTTGCGAATGCTTTTCCCAGCTTCTGCAACTCCGACAATAATTGCTGCTGTTCTCTCTTTAAGACCTTCTTTTATCGCCTATCTGCATTGTTTTGCAAGTTCCGACGTTAGTTCGCGGTTGCCTGCAGCTCGTGCGTTTTCTCGCTGGCGCATCAGCTCGAGTGTTTCTGGAGACAGACGTCTCTTGGTGACTTTCGAGCTCTCAGCTTTCGTAGCGCAAACGTAAAGATGTTGAATGAGCCGATGGTATTCTTTGTCGAAGTTGCCGACAACGGTATCTTTCCAACAGCCGACTAATGAATTGAATAAACCCCAGTTTGCGGTGGTTCGAGGACCTCAGTTTTGGAATTTAGCGGCTTTTTCTCCTTTCCGCGAGAAGTTGAATCTTGCGCGAAGGAGACGATGGTCAGGTCCCGTGTAGAATTTTAGGACAACAGCTATCGGTTAGTCAAAACCTTTTATTTACTATGATGTGGTCTATTTCGTTATGGTACTCTTCACTGGGAGAATCCAATGTCCAGCGCTGAGGATGGGGCTTTTAGAATTGCCAGTTACCATGGATTGTCTTGGTCGCCATGACAAACTCAAACAGCCGCTCACCCTGTTCGTTCCATTCTAATCCGTCGATCTACATGTAACTTTCTTTAGACGTTTTTTTTGGTCCAATCCTGGCGTTGAAGTCTCCAACGATGAGCTTGAAGAATGTTTGGTCTTCTCAGCAGAACTTCTCGAAGTCCATATAGAACGCTTCGGCTTCGTCTTCGTCATAGTTTGATGTCAGCGCGTAAACGACGGAGATTGTCAAAGCTGGAATTGATTCACGTCTTTTTAATCGTAAACGTCCGATTCGGTTTTTAAGTTGATCGAATGAACCAATGTTCGTCGACAAACTCGCGTTGGCGAGAACGTCAACGCCGCCGACTCCTCTACCGTCGCATGTTCCGAGGAACAGTTCTTCCCCGATGTCACAGACGGCGTTGAAAAGCTGTCGTCTTCTCGTTTCGGCCAAGCCGATGACGTCGTACCTTATCCTTCTCGCTTGCGTGACCAAGTCTTTTATCGAAGACTCGGATGGAAGTGTACGTACATTGTAGGTACAGATCGTCACCTTAGTTCTTCGTGATTCAGGCAGCTTCCATTGGCTTTGAGATTTTATCAGCCTCTCTGTACTCGTCCTACCCAACGCTGCCGAATTAGGGGGTCTTTCGAGGCAAGGGGAATGAGACCTGTTTTTTTTACTGTGTTTAGCATTTTGATACCCACGTTTGGCTCGCTGGGCTCTTAACGTGGAGCTGGGTATACTCACTTGTAGCTTGCCAAGCTTTCCCAGAGTGGACATGGAGCTTATTTGCTGGAGGGGACTCCTAACCGCCTTCCATATACTTCCCAGTCACTTGATTGCAGACTTTTGGCCGAATTCACTCGTAGAATATAATCCGCATAAACAAGAACGCACCCACGCAAGCATGCATGAATGCGCCTGTCAAATACAGAAAGTATGTGCCAAATCATCGCAGCAGAAACAGGGAGTCCATCCTCTGGATCCACCTGTGTCTCATGTAAATAGAGGTGGCTTTTGGTCTGCGATTAACTCCCTATCCATCACCTGGGAACACGCCACGTAGCGTCGCGACTAAGCGGCTACAGATCCCTCATATGAGAGAGTTCCGTGGTCCCCGGATCCGTTAGACCACGGAAAGGCTTTGGCGCTTTCGTTCCCTATCGCAGATTGCTGCGGTACGAGCTTTTGCAAATAACTCACCAGCATTAGGGTTGTATTACACGAAATGCCTAGCCGTGAAAAATTGTAATAGGCAGTGAATGAAAACCTAACGCTGTGATATATGCCACTATTTAGTATGTTTTAGTATGGTCCATAATACAAATGAATTGCTGTCGGTGTTTAAAAGTATTCTGCAGTCTATGTTGAGCAAATTTCGGTGTCTTTCGTATCCACGGATTCCAAAGAATGACCACAGTGATTAAAATAAAATAACAGCAAGTTGTTAGTTAAATTACCGACTAATGAATTTTCTCGAAGAGAAGTTTTTTGCAAATCATTAAGTGCAAAAGATGGTTTTTCTACTCTTTCCATACTATTTTGATATTCTTTCGGTAAGTTATCGAATAAATATAAATATTGAGGCATAAAAAAACTAAGGGGTCCAAAAAATGAAATATGGACGCTACAGTGTCCACGTGGTCCTACCGCTCAAATCGCTGTGGACAGTATAATGCCCATGAGATCTTTATGGATTATTATAACCTTATCACAATATTGTTATAAAAACTAGCAGCCAAAAAAACCAACCAAAGTATTGGGAGTTGCTTAAAAAGACACTTGATATGCTGTTACGCCATCAGCATCGATAATGCTTTTAAATGGTAGTGGAACTCATACGACCTGTAATAAAATTGAATGGGACGGGAGTCAATAGCCATGAAAGCCTTGGAAATAAATGGTGCTTAGTTTGCTATACTTAACTCTACTTTCGGTGAATGCTTGCAAATTTCCTTCCTCTCACTAAAAAGCACTTTTAACAAGACTAAAGCCTTGTTTCTTAAATGCGCACTGTTTCATTCAGGTGAAAAACTGGTGTTTCGTTGTCAAGACACTTCGGATGCGGCATACTGTAGGCAGTCGGGCACGTTCGAGACATTCCTTGCTAAATATCGTAGAGACGGCTACAAAGCAAAAGCTTACGTTCATCAGGTATAGGCATCTTTCCTCCACTTAAGTTTCTAAAACTTTGAGAAATTTTTTCAACGGCTAGCTAGGCACTGTCATTAAGATCACTTCACCTTCAAAAGCTGTTTTGAGTAACGGGAGTTTTCCACCAAAACCGACCACAGGCATTTTGAAGAATTCCACTTAAATTTGGCCAATTAAAATTCAATTTTATAAACCACACTACTGAATTGCTATTTTTTTTTTGTTCGCTCGTAAGGAAAAATTAAATCGTCCGACATCATAAACTCGTGAGCAGACGTATTGCGCAACTGTGCTGCGTAGGAGTTTGTTAGAAGGCATGAACTTCTTCACCTCATTGTCGGGTAGTACCACTATCTACTAGAAAGAGTGTAAGTTCAATATTTCCAATTCGAGTTGTCAAAGTTAAAAACCTGCTAGGAGTGATTCTGATCTGAATAAGCACCTTCTAGCGATGTTAAACAAAAAGGGAATTGCTTTCGTGGACCAGAACACAGCGGAAACAAATTAGTACGAAAACCATATAATACTCAAAAGGACAAGCACAGTTTAGACTGAAACGTGTGAAGTGTGGAGAACATTTCTAGAATTTAATGTGATGTTCAATTGGAATCAATTGCTGATTATACATAGCTTCTTCCTGAAATATAATTCATTCTAACATCTAATTTTAAAATGGCACGGCTAATGTAGTTGTACAGTTTTCACGAACTCTACTGAACCACACGGGGATTAATAGCGCGATGTTCTTCAGATGATTTCTCGATGCTATGCGACTGCCATTTGCAACACACAAACGGGTATTTTGAATTCAACGATCATTGGTGATGAAGAACATGTCGAAGTTACAAATAAGGTATTTCATGTTTACAAACTATAAATGTTAAGAAATCTAAAAACTATAAGTTTAATATGTATGTACATTGTTAAGATATGTTTGATATGTTATGTACATTGCTGAGCTTACACTAGGTTGATAAACTTATTTACTCGGCTAGCGTTTCGACGTCTTCGTCTTCATCAGAACCGATGATTCGTGTCGGTGGTCCACAGTTCCACGAAAGGTGCTGTTTGGGTACGGTGAACAACCATGATGAAGACGAATACGTCAAAACGCTAGCCGAGTAAATAAGTTTATCAACCTCGTGTAAGCTCAAGAATTTAAATACATGCTGAATATTTTGCTACCGAGGTTAAATGACGGTTGGTTTGAAAACTATAAGTTTACTTTTCCTACCTCTTGCAAAAACGGCGAAATTTTAAAAAGTGTGTCAGCATAATCTTTGGTTTAGGCTTCGAAAAACATGAAATCGATTTAAAAAGAAGTCTTTCTAAAGACTTGTATTTGAAAGTCGCACTTATCGAGGCCTCCTAATGGTTTACCGCCTCATCGTGGCTGGGTGGTGTTTCTGGGTGTCGGACTGCGATGTACAGCGATTCACCCTCTGGCTGGGTCTACCAAGTTGAGAGAGAGTCCGACGTTTCTATCAGGAAGGTCAGTTAAGAGGAAACCAATACCTACCCACCACCTTCCTGGTATCAAACTAGCTACATGGTGGCATATCTCCATCTGATCCACATGGGTGGCAACTGCCTGTGGTCGTGACGACCTGGAGCAGACTTTGGCCAGGCTGTCCTCGAGATTCCAGGGAACCACAATGGCTTGACCAGCAAATCTCCGAAAAGTGGAGATTATGCTGGAGCCTGCACAACTACTGATGACGGGCCGTTCAAGAATCAAGTAAGTACTTATCAAAGCATTCAGCGAAAGATTAAGAAATACGGCAAGTCCAGGAAATTGAAATTTGAAAAGACTCTCTCTCCATCAAAGAAAGATAGAAATTTGTCAAGCACAAAGAAGGTCATAAGGTGGATAATCAGATCGCTTCATGCAAATACCGTTTGGCATATGGCAGAATGTTTGGAGAACTAAGCGCTACAAGTATGTTCCTGCGTTATCATACGAGAGACGATACTGATAAGGAGTTCATGTGACGAAATAGCGGTTAAAAACAAGAGCTCTATTCGATCGTTTTTGTCAAAATTCTCGTAAGAAATTTGATTACTTGAAGTTACAAATAATCAATCTATGTATGCGCAGGACTGTTCGATGTCGGTTTCCAGTGCTCTTGGCAGCTGGATGATCTTCGCCGTAGAACGTTTAGAGTTTCTGAGAAACCAGTTAACCTACATGGTTTTTGAAGGCTTTAAAAAATAAAAGTAATTACTTTGAAGGTTGTTTTAGCGAAATCTATTTTTAAAGAGCTAAAAACTTGGCAGGTAAGGTGAGAAGCGAAAAGGATAGCGATAAGATCCTTTTTAACCAGTAATGATAAATGCCACCGTCAGTCACGTTGCTATGCGCTCTTCAGTACGTTTGAGGTGTGATTCCAGAAACAAACTTACTTACTTGGATACTTCGACGGTCCGTCTTCATGAGCTGTGCGGACTCCACATATGCCATTCTTTCCTTTCTCTTGCAATCGATGATCGTCTTGATGGTCGTCTTGTTCAAGCAAGCCATCGCCTGCGATTCTCATACCGTAATCTATAAAACAACCACAGCTGTGGGTACAGCTGATTAACTTTGTTTACGAACATGCCCGCCCAACATCCTAAGGCGGTCCTCCAAGAGGACGTTTGCATTCTCTTGGACTCCACTCTACTGTTCCTTTCGTCCATCTGTTGTAGGCTGTTCTCATTATGTGACCGGCCCATCTATGTTTCGCTGTCGATGTATATTCTCCTGGATCTCGAAGATGTGACAGATTTCGAAGGTCAGAGCTTCGCATTCCGGCTACATATTGAGAGTGCCGGTTATATTTCACAAGACATCGCTCAGCCGCTCTGTGGGTAGCGCGAAGCATTCTTGACGTAGTTGAAGTATCAACCCACGTCTCTGTAGCATAACAGTACGTTGGGAGGAGCGTAGAATCAAAGTAGTGAGGGCGGATTTTCGAGGTTTTAGTTGGTCGGTAGCTTCCTTGAAAAGCCTGAATGCGGCCCAAGCTGCTCTCCTTCTTCTACCTAGTTCTTCCTTCATGTTGTTTTCCATACTCATTGATCGCCCAAGGTAAACGTACGAGGTGGTCTCTCCAATGAGAGAGCCATCCAATTTAATTTTTTCGCCTTCGCACCATGGGTTCTTCACGAACTGGGTCTTCCTTCGATTTATGCGAAGTCCGATCTTTCTCCCCGCTTCGTTGAGCTAGTTGATCATCACTTCTGCTTCGCTAGTACTTTCTGATAAGATGAATATGTCGTTGGCAAAACGAAGGTTTGATAGCAACTTTCCATCACTACGTATGCCTTTCTCATCCCAATCGAGTAACTTCATTGTCTACTGCAGTACGGCACTAAACAACTTTGCCGATATTGTGTCGCCCTGTCGAACCCCTTTTTCCTATGGGTATTGTAAAAGGTCGATGGAAAAGCTGCATTTTAGTAGTGCAGTTGGGTCCGATAACAGTTGGGCAGAGTCCTCATGTAGGACGGGTTCACTCCTTGGTCGACGAGCGCTGATAGGATTGCATTCGTTTCGACACTGTCAAACGCCTTTTCATAGTCGACAAAGGTTAGCACTAGAGGCAAGTAGTATTCCCAACAAACTTCGATAACCTTGGACACGGTCTGGATGTGGTCCATGCAGCAAAACTCTTGTCGAAATCCTGCTTGCTCGACTGGTCGCGCCTCATCCAATGTCCTCAATATACGCCAGATGATAATCTTCGTGAAGAGCTTGTACAGTACACTTAACAAGTATGTGGGACGATGTTTACGAAGATCAGTTCGGTCTCCTTTCTTGAGCAGGACAACTGTGCATGACGTCCTCCACTGGTATAGGATTTTCTCCTTATGAAGGTAGTCTGTCTTATGATCTGCGAGAAGTACATGTAATTTGTGGCCTCCAGTTCTAACGAAATCGGCAGTGATATTATCGGATCTTGGAGCTCTGCCTCTTTTCAAGCTTTCTATCGCAACTCGAACCCCCGACGGAGGAATTCCAGGTGGTTTTTCTCCAGCGGGGATATTAAGGCCCGCTACGGGGATCGTGGAACAAAAAAGGTTGGTGTAAAACATTTTCGCTATTAATTCCATATCATGGCGAAGAGTTTTTACGACCCCATCTTCGTTCGCCAGGGCTGACAGCGAAACATTATAATCGCACAAGTCCCGACGGCATTTTTTCAGACTGCTTCTTTTCTCTGCTGCTTCCAGCATTTTCTTCTGCTTGAATCATTGTAGATCTTCCTGCAAAGCTCTCCGGCAGCTGGCATTTATTATTAGTCGCCCCAAGTCCTCCCATGTTCAGTGGTGGCTTTCTTTCTTCTGGAAGAACGAGTTTCCATGAAGGAGACGTGCTGATGACAGGAGTTCTGCGAGACGGTTCCCATTCACATTTTTTTCTCCTAATCCAAAATTTCCGAGTCTGTATTCGCTCTCGTTGGTTTTTTCTATTGTGGAGTTAAAGTATCCAATAACAAATCTATAATATGCTTTATCATTGCGAATGACTTCTTCCAACTGATAGTAGAAAGCATTTAATTCGTACTCATCAGCTGCGTCGGTCGGTGAGTAGCAGTTGATGATAGTGATCTTCTTATGATGCGACAGTTGAAGACGGAGGACGACTATGCGAGGGGAAAGGATCACGTATGAATCGACGAGATGAACAATAGACGGATGAACAACAAAACCTATGCCGCCGAAATTTCGTGACGAGACCTTTTCTCCACGAATCACAAGGGTTCCGTTGTTTAGTTAGTGTATGTCGGTCTTCTTGATTTCTGTTTTTGTAATGCGATTACATAAAATTTAATACGATCTACGGCTACAAGAAGGGCGTGGAGATCGGTTTCTGTGAAGAGTGTTACGGTATTATACGTGCATAGTAAGAAACAATCTCCATGGCGCGTCTCTCTCGTGCGTGTGTTCATCAGATCCGGTTCTAGTGACGTCCTGCGTAACCCGAGATTTTCTGGCCTCTCACCGTTCGTCTCACCGCCTGA